TTAGCTGCAGCATTAGCTAAATGCACCTGACTAAACTAAGAATGAATCAGCTTTAGCTGCAGCATTAGCTGAATGCACCTGACTAAACTAAGATCAACTTTAGCTGCAGCATTAGCTGAATGCACTTGACTAGTTTAGATTAACTGACAGGATGTTGGATCTGTCAAATGACAGCTTGTTGTTCCAGTTTGTTCCGTTCTGTAGGTGTTACTTCATCCTAAAGTGTGCGTGTTTTGGGTGTGTGTGCATGTGTATGTGGGGGTGTCCCTGCACAGTTTCTTACCACATTCTCCTGGATCTGGCAGTTGGAGACCGAAATACTAATTGAAACTTCCTCTGTTGAGACACAAACGTGATCAAACTGTCAGAAACTCAGAAAGGAATAATTTCTAAATTATAATCACATTTCAGCAAACACACACATTTTAAAGGTCTTCATGTTGGCTTTAATTAAGTTGGTTTTCCATTTGTACTAATACCAAAAAGCTCATTTGGTGTTTTTTTGTCAGAAGCAGCCGCTGTCAGAAGTGTTAGTCATCATGGGTTTGACGTCACTGAAGGCTCTAAATATCTCCGTTGGCTTTGAGTGGGCACCATCAGCCTGAGGAGAGCCGAGGCTCTGCAGGGAGATTCACTTTGAACTCAAACCTGTACAATGACTGATAGCTTTGGTTTCAAACCCAACACCTCCCTGCTTTGCAGCTATAGTGCTAACTTACTGTTCCACTGTGCAGCCTTGCAGTTACTGTCCCCTAAATTTTAATGTTTGATTGAATCAACATCTGGAGCCTCATGTGTGACAGAGTGAACAGCTTTCATGTCGAAAGTTGATGTAGGAACAAAATTCAAAAAGGATTCCACACTGTGTTAACCTTAGAGTAAGGCAAAATAAAGAATATAAGTGAATGTGAATTAGTGTTTGAGAGGGAGACAAGCAGTCTGGTGATCATTCCTCCAGGGTTAGTAATAAAGAAAACATAAATGGAGTGGCAGAAGGTGATAAATGCTGATGACACATCAGGAAATGAATTCAGTCCTTGTCTGGAATTTTAAAAAGTGGTCCGACATCAAATTTGATGACTAAAAATGAGTTGTTGTTCATCGATGGAGCGTTTCAGACACAATCTTTTGAAGTTTATTATGTCTGGGCATCACACGGCTGAGGCTGCCCATACTGCTGGCATGGCACGACTCAGGGACAGCTGAGAAAACCCGAACTGTTGACTTCCTCTGAAAGGCTCCGGCTTTGAGTCAGCCCTGCAAGGTGAGGACTTGAACCAGCACATGGCTCTTCCTAGTTTTCCTCTGTTATGACGGGGCCAGTTCAGCACAGAAGTCCTAAAAAATGGTTCTGGGCCTCTAAATCGGAGAAACCAGGCATCGCGATGTGCCAGCAGGTCGGTGTGATCCCTGAAAACACGCTGCCTCTGTTCTTGAATTCTTCTCTTGGCGATGTCCTCCTGCAGCTCCGAAGCTGCCTCTGGTCCACAGTTACACACAACTGTACTTTACGCAGCTCTTTATAACCATGAGTGATCGTCTGCACCTTTTGGACCTGAGGATTCTTCACAGGTGAGTTCTAAATTAATTTGTTGATCCAACACCGTTTCTTCTCAGTGAGAATGGAAGTCCTGACTGAACATGTTAGTGTGACATTACACTCATTGTCTAGGCAGTTTACATATACTGACACACGCTTTCATTCATTTAGATATATCTCAACGTGTTCGTGGAACACTCAGTCTTTTGTGTGTATGCAGGTATTGCACATGAGGCCCCAGGTGAGCGGCCTCTGGCTGTAACTCGGTGTCTTACTGTGCCCGCTGTGGTGGGAAGTGTGGCAGATTCCTGTGGAGACTGCCGGCATCAGAGCGTGCTGGATGGCCATCTCCCACATCCGAGCAACATCCTGTCCAACACCGCTGACCTGGAAACAGTTTGGACACATCACAGCACACTGAACCATAACCAAGCTGTAAACATTTCAACTCCAAACGAGGTAAAGGCTTGGATCATTCACTCACACACTGAGTTATATTTACAAGAGTTTATTCATCTTTAATCCTTCCAGTTGATCCATGCGTTCAGTTTGGATTAACATGGATTTTATATTTAAACTCTCTTGTCAGTAAGTCAGAGGTTAATCATGACAAATAAAATTAAAATAAAATAACTGGTCATCTCTTCTGTAGTTGAAGTTATTTCTCTTCCCATGTGGGAGGCTTTCTCAGTTCTAAATTGGAGTGTGGAGTTCCTAACTTTAAGCTGCACAAGATGAACTGTTGTGTAGCTAAACTCACGTGCAGATTAATCACCCTTCTCTCCCTCCTGAGGGTCTTTAGGGTCTTTGTCTACCTCCTGAGGGTCATTAATATCTTTGTCTCTCTCCCCTCTCTCCTGAGGGTCATTAATGTCTTTGTCTCTCTCCCCTCTGTCTTGAGGGTCATCAATGTCTTTATCTCTCTCCCCTCTCTCCTGAGGGTCAGTAATGTCTTTGTTTCTCTCCCCTCTGTCTTGAGGGTCATTAATGTCTTTGTCTCTCTCTCCCCTCTCTCCTGAGGGTCATTAATGTATTTGTCTCTCTCCCCTCTGTCTTGAGGGTCATTAATGTCTCTCTCTCTCTCTCTCTCTCTCTCTCTCTCTCTCTCTCTCTCTCT